CTTAATATAAAGTGGGACCAATAGAGTTCCCCACAGTGGGCGGAATTTGTCTTAAATTTAGTGACAACAAAGCCCACCCATTTAAAGGAAAGATATGCTTGATCAATTTTCCTGTCATTTGAAATTACTCTCCCATCGACTTACTATTGCTTTGCCCTCTGTAATTTCATAGCTGGACCACCAATCACAGATCGAAAAGCTTTAGGTGGAAACATTCTAATAAGGAGAAAATGGGTGTCTTTCATTTAACCCTCATGCACTGAACTGGCATTTAACTCAATAGGCAAATTCGAAGAGTTTATTTCCACAGAAATTTTATTTATTTTATTTAGATGTTGTCAAATTATGAATTGCTTAAAATTTGAAATGATTAATTTTTATTAAAAATAATATTTAAAAGTTTGTAATTTAAAAGAACAATTAATTAAAAAATATATATATATTGTTTTTACAATAGTTAAGGCCCTCCGAGAGTTGACAGTTCCCTTCTGGGTCTGAACTTATTTGCCCAGTACATTTTTATATATATAGGTTTCAGACAATTGTCACACCAGAGGGTGTTCCCATATAGCATCAGCTACTGTCACAGTATCTCTGAGATGTTTAATAATTATATAATTACATATACATGCATACATGATTTATTTATATGTTGTTGTTTGTTCTTTTTAATTCTACTTAACATTCTCTTAAGGGAGGCGAGGGGCTTGTTTCTGCCACTGAATAAAAATAAAAAAGGTAATTGCGACTTTTTTCCTGGCAGTTGCAAGATTACATCTCCCAATTCTGTTTTTTTTTTCTTTTTCGCATGAATTGTGAGTTTATGTCTCACAATTCTGACTTTATAACATGGAATTGCGAATTATAAAGTCAGAATTGTGAGAGATAAACTCGCAGTTGTAAGAAAGTAGTCAGTCTTTTGGGTTACACTTTATTTCGATAGTCCACTTTGGACATTCTATTATCAGTAAGTAACTTTGCAACTACATGTCAACTATCAGTTAGTAGAGTATTAGTAGATTGTCTGCTTAATATCTTCTAACACTTTCTTTGTCAACTTATTCTACTAACCCTAAACCTACCCTAACAGTCTACTCTGAGAGTTAGTAGACATGTAGTTGCAAATTAATGAGAATTAGTTGACATGTAGTTACAAAGTTACTTATAGTTAATAGAATGTCTAAAGTGGACTATCGAAATAAAGTGTAACCCAAAATGATTATGCATTTTAAACAGTTTTTGAAATCTGTTTTTAAAACCTAAAACAATATATCTTTTTGAGGCAATGCAATTTTCATATACTTTAGAATGAACATCATAAAAGTTCAACAAAAGAGTCAAATTTTCATCAACTGAATGCAATATCTCAAACCTTGTTCTGAGGTGAAAAGAGAAAATTCTCACGACAAATTGCACAGGTGAGGCGATGCTACAGGTGTTGAGGTCAGTGAGAGGTCCAGGTGACCATCTGTGCGTGTGACGGCTCGCAGAGATCAGAGAGGATGTGAGAGAGTGTGTTCAACCTGAAATCAGCCGAGATTAAAGCCAAAGCGGCAACAGCGTGCCAACACTGAGTAGAAAGAGAAAAATACACACTGAAAGAGACAGATAGAATGAGACAATATGACAGAGAGAATGATAGATAGACAGAACGATGAACCAATAGATAGAACAATCGATAAAACAAATGATAGAACAAACAATAGAACAATAGACAGACAAAATGACAGATGATAGAAAAATAAATATAACATTGAAAAGATAGAATAATGGAATGATAGAATGAACATAAAGATCTATAGATCCAAACAGAAAGACAGACAATGATAGAATGAACGTTTAACAGACAGACAACGAAAGACAGATAGATTGATATCAATGGAATGGTGGATAGATAGAATGCTGAAACAACAGAATGATGGAATGATAGAACAAAAAGAGATAAATAGAACAATCTATAGATTCATCATCAAAACAGACAGACAAAGATAGAACGAACGTTTGACAGACAGACCAAATTAATGGAATAATGGATAGATAGACATTGTTCATTTAAATGGGGAGTCATCTCAATTATCACCAGTAAAATATGGAGTGCCACAAGGATCTGTCCTAGGTCCTTGGCTATTTTCAATATACATGTTGCCCCTTGGTAATATTATCAGAAAATACGGCATTAGTTTCCACTGTTATGCTGATGATACTCAACTATATATATCTCAACAAGACCAGATGAAACTTCTAAATAATATAAGCTAACAGAATGTGTTAAAAATGTAAAAGATTGGATGACCAATAATTTTCTCCTATTAAATTCGGATAAGACAGAGATATTACTTATTGGACCAAAAGACAGTACACAGAATCTCTTGAGATTACAATTTGCAACTAGACGGATGTACAGTTACTTCCTCTACAGTCAAAAATCTGGGTGTTATATTAGATAGCAACTTGTCTTTTGAAAATCATATTTCCCATGTTACAAAAACAGCATTCTTCCATCTTAGAAACATTGCCAAGTTACGAAACATGTTACCTGTTTCTGATGCAGAAAAGCTAGTTCATGCATTCATGACCTCTAGACTGAACTATTGTAATGCACTGCTAGGTGCAGTATATATTTTGAAATATATTTACATGTCTATATTTATATTCATATAATTTATATGATAAATATATTTAATATATAAACATAACATATTTTTCTTAAATATATACATGCATGTGTGTGTATTTATATATATATATAATAAATATACACAGCACACACGCATATATTATATAAACAAAAAAATATATTTTTTGGGTGCGATTAATCGCGATTAATCGTTTGACAAAATGAAAGCACAATGTAAAAAAAATGAAATCCAATTCAAAATATTAACAAAACTATAATCGTATATCAATGATATTAAAACAACACTGATATGGGTCGTATTATTCACTATACACAATATAAGAGAATGTTATTCCAAAAGAAAAAAAAATGTCTTCATAATCTTTCATTAGGCCTATATAACTTTACATTTGCCTTTTAAAAAGGCTCTATAATATGACTCTTTAATGTGACTCTATAATGTTACCGAACCAACTCTAACTAAGCAAAAGAAACTAAGAATGTATCGTGAAAAGCGCTATTCAAATAAACTTGAATTGAATTGAATTGAATAGATAGAATGCTGAAATATCAGAATGATGGAATGATAGAACGAAATGAGATAAATAGAACAATCTATAGATTCATCGTTAGATAGAACAACAGACAGAGAGAATAAATGACTGACAGACAGACAGAACAACAGATAGACTGATAAACAGAACGATAGAACAACAGAGAGGACAGACAGATGAAAAGAACAAATGAAAGAACAACCTGACAGGCAGACAGACAGAGAAAAATAAAATGAATGATAGAACGAACAACAGAACAAATAATAGACAGACAGATAAAGCGACAGACAGATCAATAGAACAATAAACAGACAGACGGGCAGACAGATAGATAGAACGATTGAACGAACAACAGAACAAACAATAGACAGGCAGATAGACAGACAGTTGGCGCGTCAGATGGAATAATAGAACGATAGACAAACAGAACGATGGAACCATAGAATGAATTATAGAACAAACATTAGATTCATCGATTGATAGAAGGACAGACAGATAGATAGATAGATAGATAAGCTCTGTTGATTGATCTTCACATCGCTGATCAAAGGTTTGTGTGTGTGTGTTTCTCTTCTAATCCTTCACCTGTGTTTTTTCCTCGTTCATGTTACTCATGTCTGCTCAGTGTCTGGACGTGTTTGTACTGGACATGAATCCTGCCAGCAGAACCATCCAGATGCCACAAATACACGTTCATAACATTAAGAGCGTGAGCTGTAATGCATTAAAGTACAGAGAGACGGGAGGAAGGAGAGACGGCTGTGCTTGTACATTAACGTCCTCTGGGTTTTGTCAATACAAACCCAAACTTACATCACTCACCTACTCACATCACTGTATTTTTCTTCTTTATAAGAGGTAGACAGTGTGTGTGGAATGAACTGAATGGATATTTCGGTGGAAGATCAAACCATTTGCACTGCATTCTTGGACAATGTGAATAAATAACACTCAATATAAACAGGGCGCCTGGAGCAAATCTAGATAAATAATTCATAGATGCACACAAACTCATATTAGTGCACTGATGGGTTTTCATTCACAATGCCAATTCAGTAAGTGAATGGAAGTAGTCATGTTAAAACAGCTGACAAATTACATGTTCACAATCAATATTTCAGGTTACACGACAGATGGAAGAAGTAAAAATGCTTTGTTTTTTCTAAGCTGTCAGCTACTCATTGTGTTTTTTTTTTAAAAGCCAAAGCCAATTAGAGTGAAGCTCCTGGATGTTTTCTGACCGTGGGGAGGATTGCATTTAATCCAGGCTTTAGAGAGAGGCCTATCTGAACATAATCTCCAGATTAAAAACACAAGCCTTAAATTCAGGTCTCTCTTTCACGGCCCATCAATAACATTCAGGAAATATTCATTGATGCACATACACCACAGCACGATGCATTTCCACATATATCAATACAGATGGGTGATTGATTGGAAATGATATATTTAATGTTTTCAAACTGTGTCATGTATGTTAAAACATTTATCATTGTTAAACATTTAACATTTTAAAAGATCTGGTCATGTAACAGTGGATTATTTTTCTTTTCTCCTATCACTTGTCATTTCCATCATAAATTAATATCTTTATATCTTCATGTCTTTACGCACACACATGTATATATATGTGTATATATATATATATATATATATATAATTATCAAAACTTCACCACATTAAGATTTGACCTCATAATGTGAAACACTGGGGAGAGTAAATGTCTTATTTGAGGTCCTTCTTTGCTTGTCCTTCATCTGCATACACGCACACAGCACAAATCAGGGTAGTTAAACACGGTGTACTTTTACTGTAGCTTCTGTAAATACCTGCTGTGCACCTGGATTTGGCAGGTTAAATTAAAATATATTTAAAAGAAAAGGACCTATAAATGTCATTCCAAATTGAAATAAAACCCAAACAGAGGCTTTGTAGAGATGCCTACATAATAATAATATTAATAATGATAATAATAATTTAAAAAAAGACGGAAAATGTACTGGTAATTGTCTGCCAGAACATTACAACACACATACATTTCATATACAGATAGAAGAATCTTGCATAATCTTGCATGATCAGGATCTCTTTCGAACAGATGGGTGATCTTTAAATAGAGATAATGGAAAGATGTAGTGTAATGACAATGACCAGCTACAATACACTTGGCAGGAAGTGACATCACCCCTAAAATATATTTCATGTTCAATTCCAGCAATACCATTTCATATGACTGACTACACAGATATGAATATAATCAATGTTTTTATCGTTCAAGTACTTTACTATAGTATGGTTCAAAAACACTATAGTATTTACCATAAATTACTGTAGTATTTTTTCATGTTGAGGACGCTCGGCGAGCCCGTCTGGCTGCAGCTTTGAGCGCTAATGGTTAATGAATAGGCAGCACCTGGTTTCTCCATGCAGCAGCGCCGCAGGTTCACAGGAGGAGCTGGAGATGATGCCAGCGATCTGATCTCTGCCAAAGCCTGATAGCATCAGACCGCCTGTGTTCCCCACACACACCTCCACACCCACACCCACGCAGCCCTGCGCACGCCACTGCCATTCAATTACATTCATGTGGAATCAACAGGAACTCAGCAAGCATCTCTTAAACGTTCAAAATTCTTCAAGAACAACGTCAAAGTCACTTGTTAAATTAATAAACAATCTAAAGGTGAAATACAGTCACAGCCGACAACATAGGGATCCTACCCAAGTGGACAAAATGACCATAACTGCCAAATGTGAATATATTGTGCTGTCGATGTGAATAAATAAGCTGTTTTGGTGGAAAACTTCAACGCTGTTATGCAGTTTTCCAGATTTTCTCAGTTATAGCGCCCCCTAGCATTGGAAATTGATGAAATGTGGCGAGTTTCCTCAGGTTGTCCAGTTCTAAAGCACATGAACATTTGACTCGTGTTCAGTTTCTGTAGACCAGGGGTTCCCAACCACATTCCTGCATGTTATCTGTCTCCTTAAATCAAACACACCTGATTCAGATCATCAGCTCATTAGTAGACACTGAAATGGGTGTGTCAGACAAAGAAGAGATGCAAAATGTGCAGTGTTGGGGGGGCTCCAGGAACATGGTTGGGAACCACTGCTGTATAGCCCAAAAATATGTCATTTAACTACTTATCAAGGCAACTAAACACCGTTACAGTGATTTTTATTACAGGTAAGATTTATTTATCTCAATGTTCAATAAATAAATAGTAACTATATTACATATTATTCATATAAATAAATACATGCATACAATTTTATTGAACATTATAACTAATTTATTGAACACTGAGATATATTTGTTGAACATCGATATATAAATTGTTTATTATTAACTATATATTATTTATATAATAATTACAAATATAATTTTAATACAGTGAATTAAACATACATTTTACAGATATATCAAAATTATGGTACATCTGTAAAATTAACAAATATATATATATATATATATATATAAATTAATTAATTAATTATTATAATTAATATATAAAATCAATATAAATTTATAAAACAAAATATATTTTGATTATATATTTAAAACAATAAATATATTTTTTATTTACCAATAAATAAGTCAAAGACTATGAATACAGTTCAAGGTCAACATCCCCATTTTAAGGAGGGATGTGGATATTTTGTGCATTTAAAACTAGCCACTTTTCATGAATATGGAACAATTCTTTTACACATCTAATCATTTTCATAATAAAAAACTATGAATTTGTGCTTTTTAATACTTAAACATACACACACCAAACTGTACTATATATCAATGAAAAGTGCCCTAAAGAAACCTAGCAGAAGAATAAGTGGAGGAAAATAGAACAAGCAGATGTTACTTACAAACTGATGATTATTATTATTTATTTTTTATTTTTTTTGAGCTGGTCAGTCATTTCTCATCCTGCTTACATTTTAATTTCAGCTCTAGAACAATATTAAGCCATTGCACAAAGCAGAGTTGAGTCGATAAGATGAGTTAAACACTAAATGTGACCCGTTAAATGCGTCGCTTTAATGATGGACATTCATCAACATCAGAGGCCGTGACATCATTTCCATCAGCTCACAGAAATAGCACGCAAGTGATGTTTAGCACAGCGACTGCGATTGTTGCGTGTGGATCGCCTGCCGTGTGCGCTGCCCCATTGATCACTATTGAAATGATTATATTCCAGTCGCTTTATGCAGTTGTCTGGCAAACGCCCGCAGTGTTAACCTCCCTCAGGGCTCTGAGTGTCCTATGGTTGATCAGCTAGCATCAAATGCTCAAACTGGGATGTTTTTTAACATTAGTTTTGAAGAGAACTCTCTAGATCTACCACAACCAATAGAGCAACATAATGTGTATTTATATATAAAATAATATGTGTATGTATATTTATAATTATATAAAAAATATATTAAAATTATATTAAAATGTATAATGCATATTTATAAGCACATTTTTCTATAACTGATTTATATCATTATCAAATATACATATATATATATATCACATACTGGTCAAAAATATATAGCCTGAATGCACTGTGTCTGCTAAATGCATAAAAAAAATTTAAAATAATTAACTAATTGAACATTCAGATTTATTTGTTAAACATCGATATATATTTATTATTACATTATATTTATTTATATATATATATATTTATATTAATTATTATTAATTGCATATATCATATATGTATGTATACTGTATCATCTAAGCATATATTGATGAGATTTGTTTTTATTAATCTATGTAATAAAATCATATTATACAATTTATACAACAAACAAATCTGCTGATCTTTTCATGATTTTGCATAACTGTTTTTTATACATATAAAATGCTTCGGAATGTCTTTTAACTGAATTTTAATTAATGTGCTAATCAAATATAACACATCAAGTATCTTATAAGGGTGTATCCCTTTTGACTTCACGTCTATCACACACATTTCCACAGGGAACGGGTGCGGCACCACACCCTTAAACCAGCGTTTCCACTGCATTATACAGACCATGAGCCTCAATCCTTGCTGGAGATGAACACCGGTCTGCCAGCTACCAGATCAGATCCAGAACTTCTCTTTTCCGAGGGGCCGTGTTTCACATGGGATCATAGTGCTGTTTGACAAAAGGAGCCGTTTGGGATGGCACTTTGAACAGGAGCCAGGTGCATGTTGGGATGCTTTAGACAGGGTGAGAATGACGCTTGCTGTGAAAGCAGGTTGAAACAACCACCAAGGCCAGTCTGTGTTCGTCTCTTGTGGCATTACAACTATTAACACGTTAAAACAATAGCAACACTCTCATAACCACACTCAGGTTCAGAAATTATGGATCGGATCTCTAAGGAGATAAAGTGAGATGTAACTGTGAATGACAGGCAGGAATCACGTGCTTGAAAATATTTGCTAGTAGCAGCCTGGTGGGACGATTCAGATATGAAATGATGATGGTAGAGGAAGAGGAAGTCAAACTAGAACAACAGCGCCACCTGGTGTACACCTAAAGATAACCATAAAAGTTCAATTACACATTAATCATCTTTTGCACAAGTCTTAATCACATATTTTCATTATCTAAGACGCTTACCCCTGGTTTCACAGACAAGGCTTAAGCCTAGTCCCAGACTAAAATGCATGTCTGAGCTGTTTTAACTGAAAGAAACTTGCACTGGCATATTTTAAAATATATTAATTCCTTTGTTTTGTCTCAAGATGCACACGAGTAATGTTTTTTTTCTATGGAACGTTTATAAAAGATACTTAAATGTCCTTATTGAACTATGCCCTAAACCTGGCTTAGTCTACTCTAAACCCTGACTGTGAAACCAGGCCTTAATGTTCCTCTTTAACATCTGAATGATTAGCTGATACTAAGTTACTATATTATACACATTTTCCGTACAATAGCCACTTTCTTATATATATATATATATATATAGCTTCGATCTCATCCCAAGGAGAAATAACGTTTGAGAAAGCACACTATCTTTCAGGCCTGGCTGCTCAGGGTTACACTTAGAGGTCACTGAAAATAACATACTGAAGGATGAAAATGTATTACTAAAGGTTTTCTCTCACTGTGTGTGAAAGTGACATTTGTAGAGGAAGGTTTTGATTAACACTGAAGGGCAGAAGGTCACAGAGGTCAGGAATAAATGCCTCTGGCATCAGTTTTGCAGTTCAGGAGCATCTGAGGGTCAAGCTCCTTCTAAAAGAATCTCAAAAGGAGGCAGAAAGACATGTGGACAAAATCATTTCAGCTTAGTTCAGCGTATTTATAAGCATTCAGAAACTGGTGGACCCTTATTTACAGGGTCATTCCTTTTTATTTTTTTATCTAAATTGTAAATTGCTAAAATAATTAGAGGCTCATCAGTCTCACATTTGGCTTTCACATTGTAAATTACTTCTACAATTAGATATTTTTAAAAGAGCTAATTAATTGTGACCACTAGGAGGCAATAAACTTCCACCAAAAAATGTATTCTGTAAAACCGAATAAACAAACTACATATAATAATTTAATAAAGATAAATATCATTAATTTCAATAATTTAATAAATTATTTAAAGTTACGCAGCTCATTTTACATTTATTTAAAATTGTTTATTTAAATGTATTTCAAAATTTAAAATTTAAAATAGTAATAATAATTCATAATGAAACAAAAACAGTTAAAAATGCATAAATAAAAATATTAAATAATTTAATATAACAACAAAAATAATCATTATAATTATTATAATTAATAACATCATTATGATGTGCATTTTGCAGAATGATTTGTAAACAATAAAAAGCAATACCTTTCATGGCTAAAAATCATGATTTGTAAACAATTAAAAAATATACATTTAATGCATAATTTCAGTCATCCGATATTCACCAGGCATTCATTAATTATGATTTGTAAAATACTAAATGCCAAAAAGTTGTCTATAATTAAATTACATTCCCAAATCAAAGCAAGAAGTTAGTAATTGGAAGTTACACAAATACTAAATAAATAAATATATTAATATATATTTGTGTCATGTTGTGTGTGTTTGTTTGTTTGTTTGTTTGTTTGTTTGATTGATTGTTTGTTTGTGTGTGTGTGTGTGTGTACCTACTTAACCATATTTTGGGGACAAATTTGTACCCAAAAGTGAGCTAAACCTGACAAAATCTCCAAAAACCTCCCTTTGGTGACATCCTCATTTGTAAAACTGGTATAAAAATAAAGTAAACAGTTTTTTTAAATTGTAAAAATGCAGAAAGTTTCCTGTAAGGGGTAGGTTTAGGTGTAGGGTTGGTGTAGGGCAATAGAATATACAGTTTGTACAGAATAAAAACCATTACTCCTATGGAATGTCCCCATTTAGATAGCTAAGTAAACGTGTGTGTGTGTGTGTGTATAGATAGATAGATAGATAGATAGATAGATAGATATAGATTTTAGAAAGACAGATAGAAAGTTTAGCTTTATTTTCTGTGTGGGTTTGCCTTTCAATGTGAAGGTGGACACAGTTAATGAGTAAAATACTTTACTGCCACTTTCAGCAGCATCTCGATGACTGATTC